AGAGGGAAGACGCTCAATGCACAGACATGGAAACATGGAGCAGACTGATGAATCTCAGAGGGGAGGGAGGGCAGGAAGAGATTAACCAAAGATCTTGTACGCCTGCAGGGATCAGGCCGAATCCACGCACGGGGCCTCTGACATCCTCCAAGGGGTCTGAGGGCAGGAAGAGATTAACCAAAGATCTTATACACCTGCAGGGATCAGGCCGAATCCATGCACGGGGCCTCCGACATCCTCCAAGGGGTCTCAAACTGCGAGAGGGCTCAGGCCAGGCTGAGGGACCCCACCAGGGCACGAATCCGTGCCCTAGGCCTCTAGGATCTTACATAAAAAATAATGCAGGTGGTGGTACCTGGATCTGGCCATAAGCCATGGAGTGGAACCCAAAAAGTTTCCACATTGGAGAACACTGAGCTCCACATCCAAGGGGCCCTTTGGGAAGCCAGTGGGGTCCTCGAGCTGTGAGTCCCTGGATCAGAGGAGCCCTGGAAGCTCTCCTGGCACAGGCTCCTTCCCCGGCTCGCAGCGCGGGGCTCCATGCTAGACACCCTGGAAGGCCCCGAAGCTTTCGGCGGCCAGCAGCCCCGGCAAACACCTTGGTCTCACACCTCAGACTCTAACTTCTCTGATAGACAGGAAATCAGAAGTGGGCTGAGAGCGCAAACTCAGATTTACATATTGTCAAGGCTCGGAAGGCCCTTTGAGGTCATCTAACCCAGTGGTTTTTAAAAAGTTGATCATATGCCCACCCTCCTCGCAAAAGACAATTCTTCTGAGCAACCTGAATATAGAAACAAGTAAAAGCAGAATGGGACCTGTGTACATTGATAGCGCAGGTTCCAATATGTAACAGCTGCCGATTCTGCATTCAATCGCTGAGGTTGCTGGGGCTGTTTTGATCCGTTAATATTTAGAATTGGGATCATGGGTGACAGTTCCACATTCCTTCTAATTTTATCTCCAGTTTTGGCTGCAGGGTGTCAAGAAAATCCTGACACACAGATTAGTGGCTACAAATGGCAATAGTTTTTAGCAGTTTGCTTTGTAACCTCAAAATACTCTTCAAACAGAGATGGCAGAAGGGGAAGTTTCACTTGAGTCCGACTACTAACAAGTTAGTGCGAAAGTGAACTTCAGTGAGTTAACATCAAGAACTTAAAAGGGAGTGAGCACATTGTAATGACCATTTAAGCATCTTAATATACTTTAGATATTAATTTTTATTTAATATTCAAGGAATCCCTAAGGAATCTGAGGAAGCCTGGGGCTTACAGGGAGGGAAACTGAGGCCCAAGTAAGGAAGTATACTGCTTTGGAAAAATCCAACGTGAGCCTTGAATCAACTTCAGAAAAAAAAGAAAAAGAAGGAAGAGAAGGTGCACACACATCCCAGAGGGCGGGAAGAGAGACACCTCACTCCACCTGTCTCCGCAGCACCCGTCTCATTCCAGGCCAGCACCAGAGGCTGACATCACACCCCACACCCGAGTACAACTTAAACAGAGCATTGCTCAATGCCAACCTACCTCCCTTTAAGATTGGGCATGGTTTGCCCATCTCCTTAGTAGCCAACTCTACACACACACACAAAAACACACAACACAACACAACACAAGCCCGGGGCATGACAACACACTCAACAGTGGCAGACAGAAGGGCCCATCCCTCTGCGTTTCATCATAAAGACCAAGTGCCTGTTTGCCTACCCCACCCACCCCCCCAAGCTGCCCACAAGGAGTTGAGAGCTCTCATGAGAGACAACCAGCCCAGCAGAGTGGCTAGTGTACAGTGGGGTTAAGACTTACCCCCAAAAGCCAGGCCCTGCATGAGAGAGCCCTGAGACTCCAGGCACCTGTGTCCTGCGAGCTTGACAGAGATACTGCCATCTTTAATGCCATCAACTTGATTATTTTATACCAGTGGTTCTCAACCTTCCTAATGCCTCGACCCTTTAATACAGTTCCTCACGTTGTGGTGACCCCCAATTTCATTGTTACAAATCGAGCATAATTAAAGCATAGTGATTCATCACAAAAACAATATGTAATTATATATGTGTTCCGATGGTCTTAGGCGACCCCTGTGAAAGGTTCCGACCCCTGTGAAAGGGTCATTCGACCCCCAAAGGGGTCGCGACCCACAGGTTGAGAAACTCTGTTTTATACCTTCCAAAGAGCATCACCACCCTACTCTCCCCTCATGCAAATGTGAATGAATTTCATTGCTCCGTTGATGAGCAAGCAGGCTTCCAAGTGGTTCAATAATCTCAGGTGATGGGGCTGATATTGACGCCTTCCCAGTAGAGGAAAAGGAGGGAGACCCATGCCCAGCTCCCTGGGCAGACCTCTGTGCTCATGTGACTCAGGGACTCAAGGAGTGGAAGGAAAGATCCTCTCAGCACATCCTCCAAATCCAGGAGTTTAGAGCCAAGTTCTCAATTCAGAGTTGCCCAGGCTGGGACACCCCCGCCCAGGCCTGAGATGCTACAGACAGACAGACAGACCCCTCTCCTCTCATCTGAAAGTGGAGCCCACAGTCCTCTCAGCCAGGCTGTAGGCAGGAAACAATGCTACTTTCCCATGTGGGGGACCTGGGCTGGGTAGAAATGTGCTGGCGGATCCTGTAGGCAGTCTGCCTGGCACCCTACTCAGAGATGGTGGTCTTGGTCCATTCAATGTCCAGTCTCCCAGTCCAAGGTTTACCTCCTTCTGTGGGCCTTCGGGGCTGAGTTTGTTGAGGCCCAATAAACCATGACAATAGGATGGCAGGGGAGAGGAGTGAAGGGAGGTGTTTTTAAAAGCTTGTGGCCTATCTAATGTAGGTCTGGTTACCCAGCCCAGCCAGCTGGATCCTAGAGCTGGAGCAAGAAGGTGGACCCTAGCCCCAGTGCTAGACAGAGATGCTTCCGTTTTCAAATACACGATCTCGTTTAATTCAAGGAACAAAAGGTCAGTGGGTTACTGAAGAGTTTCTCCTTTTCACCCGGGGAAGGAGGGCAGCTCCTCTCCCTATTCTTGGGAAAGTACCTAGGCTGGGAGACAGACTGGACAGGAGTACTTCAAACCACTAGTTCAGATCCTGGGGTCACCACTTATCAGACAATCCCCTCACGCAAGTCACTTGCATCTCCGTGCCTTAGTTTCCTCATCTATGAAATGGTGATAAGAATGCTCTTCATGTTGCTATGAGAATTAAATGAGATGACTTAAAACACCCATGGCTATTTTGTCACCTACAACACAATGCGCCTGGCCCAACAAAGGTTCGGAGGTGCCCCTGCTGTAGTCAGCGCCGCCCCCCATTCTTGGAACCAGATAACCGAGTTTTCCCAGCGCACGCAGGGTCCCCTGCGAACAGTTTGCAGCCCACCTGCTAGGACCAGCTGGCTGCCCCCGGCCCCTCCCGAACGCCAACGCTGCGGCCACAGGGGAGAGTTGAGGCCGCACTCACCTCCGCTTGTACTCGTCGCGCTCGCGTTTCACCTTGGCCAGCACGTTGTAGAGTGCACGGATCTCGGGCGTGATGGTGTCGATCTGCACTCCCACGCCGTCGGGGTGCACCCACGACACGCCGGGGCCCTGCACTGTCTCCACGCCGCCGCCGCCCGTGCGCCGCACCTGCGTGTAGCTCCAGATGGTCCCAGGCAAGCGGCCATAGAGCTGCGGGTGAGAGCCGCCGCCGGGGGGTAAAATGAGAAGTTGTTGTGTTTCAGAAGACCAAAGAAATACCAAGCATGCTTCCTAGAGAAAGGGAGGGACCCCGTTTATTAACACTAGTGGACTCTGGGAATAATTCCCAAATCAGAGAGAAGAAACACGCAGAGGGTTTCACTTTTTATAACCTTCTGATGTCTTTGTCTTGAAGATATGGTTCTTCCATGGGCTTACAGGAAGGCCCCCAGGTGTTGAGGTCCCCAGGCCATATCTGATGATCTGTCCTGGGGTCAGTGATAATGACCTCCCCCACCCCCCAAGGCAGTATATTGTTCACAGTTTTTATGGCCTGACACACTTTGCAAGACCAGTTTCAT